CTGGCGAGTACTATCCATTAAGATTTTTAAAAGCGCAATTTCCCTCACTCCCTTCTCTTTAGCAATGGTGCCAGGCCACATCACTTTTGAGCCTTGAGAAAGTAGAGCACTCATCCCCGAATCTCTCTGCCATCAGTCATGCATAGGGTTTTCCAGAGAAGTACTTGGCTACAGGAAATGTTCAGCAGCTATGAAAAGAAGCCATGAGAAAAAGGATTATGGAGAAAGCAGAGGCCCCTAGATCCAATTCGCTGACTGTGTGGACCACACATTTGCATTTGTTTCAGATTAGTTTGAAAGTTGATGATTATTTCCATTTAACAGCAAATTTCTTTTAACCCCAATTTGGTTTGAATTACTCGGTTCTACTTAACAACTGTTCCAAAAAGTCACATGCATAATATAAGTTCTGTTCTTGGAAAATGTAGTTAATTTTTACTGTATTGAAACATTCATGTGATCGGATTTTTTTTTAAATATAATTATCTTAATATCCTTGTGCTGTAGGTACTCTAGGTAACCTACCTACGATTAAGAGGATGTTAGGAATCCTTTTCATTTAGCCTCCTCCGGTTACTACCCTCTACCACTGCCCTTGCTACAGTCCACGCAACAGGTGTTTCAAGCTGGTCTTTTTATGATTGTCATAAATTTTTAAAAAAATCATTAATAACACAAATTTTACTCAAATGAAGACAAAAGGAATAGTAATAAAAACTAATGAAAATCTTGTAAAAATTCAGTTACCATAATTTCTACCAGCTCTAGTTCATGAATGATAGTACTACATGACAATGGTTTCTGATTTCTGAATTTTTCTAAAGAACGAATTAATACTTCAGAATTTTATACATAGCAAAATTGGACAAAAAATAAGTTGCATCTAAGAGCGAACACAAAACATTACAGTCAGAACATCAAAAGCAGAATTTAAAGACAAGCAACTACTACTAGAAAAGGATAGGAAGGAGTCTTTTGAGACAAAAATTCGCCAAGGAATTTTATCCAGATTAAATTAATACATAATTGTCCACCATTGTCATAGGGCTTCTATTTTTGTTTTCAGTATTTCATATTTCTGCTCTCTTATAGTTCAATAAAACTCTTCACCAAATTTTACATTATTTTCACACTTTAATGGCTTTCAAAATACAAATTTATAATAAATTGTTTTTAAACTCGTGATGATCACAATTAAAGTAAAGACATATTGATAAAACACCAACACAACAATCTGCATTTATTGTTCATTGAATTTGTCTAAACATTAAAGAATTTTTGACATTTTGAGTATATAATAATACATTCATTCAAAATTAAATACAAGATTTGAATAGTATTTTATTACACGTTATTTTGACCTTTAGATTTTTCAATACTAAAAAGAAATGCCCTTAAACCAGGAATATCAGAAGGCTCTAATCAAAAAGTAACTTTCACAATTTGAAAACATTTGGTTCAAACCACGTCCAATTGTACAATACAAAAAACCTCCATCAATGTTTTTCTTAATAAAATTATAAAATATTACTTTAACTTTGCTGGACACATATGTTATATGTTAAAAAAGATAAACAAATGAAACAACATTTATTCACCATACTCTGTCCTCAATTATTTTAACACCAATGTCTATATTTCAATATATAAGGGAAAATATTTTTCCTTAAAACCCAATTATAAAGGAAAAGAGATTATTTTAATACAGGGTGTAGAGAAGGTACTCGAGTCTTCGCTGTAGGTAACATTTTATGCACTTTTTTCAAGTGACGAATCATATTACCAGTACCTAATGAAAAATCGTATTTAAACCTTCTATTACAAATACAGCATCGAACTGCACAATGATGTTCCTGCACAAAATATTTCCAGGACCAAGATCTACGTCTTCCCGCAGCCATTGAATCTGAAACTGGTACAAATGATTGAAATTGAAACAACAAATATGGCTAGACTTTCATTAAATTAACGGCAGGTTAACAGATCAATATGGAATGCTTACAACTTCAAATATTCTAAAGGTTACTAAAAATATTGAAAACCACAATATTAATGGTAATAATAATAAAAACAAAAGCAACAATGAAGACAACTATATGCAAGTGAAAAGTATACATTTTCAATTTTCTTAATTTTTTATAATGCCACATAAAGGGGTTAAAATTTAAGAAATAATTTCTACAAAAAACCAAGGTTCAAAATTTTAAATGTCTATAACTTTTTTTTACTTAACCCTGGATAGTAAAAACATTTAGAACTTCACTGCTTAGTCAGTAATTACTTAACAATGTTCAAGTTATTAATGTATAAATATGTTATCGTATTTTCATTGTAAATGAAAGCTAATTAAGCAAAGTAAAGAATAATTTGAAGTACTCTTGATGTTAGATCCAATGTGCATTATTCACTTATATCAATGGCAATAACAAAGCCTTTTTTGTTTTGATATTCATTCCTCATGCCATTATCCCCAAACATCTGCTTTAATGAAAGATATGTTCCATTGAGTACATGTTTGATTGTTTCATACAATAATTTGTTCTTTTGTTTTGTAATGTGTAACTTTGATATTTGCTTTTGGATTTTAAAATGTTTGAATCAAATAGGGTGCTGAAATTCCTTCAGATACAGATGAATACTTTCACTCCTGACATGGAAATCCAGATTCATATGAACAGCCACATGGAATGTAGGTTCATGGAATATCCCTGTGTATTTATATAGGTGTGTCCAATACTTGTAAAGTTGGGGCAACAAGGAGGAAATTAAAACTTTTAATGAAAATTGGTTTTTTATTTGCTATAGTTTGAATTACCAAATTTGATTCTATGGTGATCATTTTCGTTAAAATATTCCTAATTTGTTTCAAATCACACTCCTTTTGCCTCCAAACAAGTATGATGTCAAACTTAGTGACAAGTGTTCTAATAAATATCTTCGAGCAACCATAACTTAAGGAGTTTCCATATAGAACATCCATATTAGCGGGCTCATCAATCATCATAACCTTAGAAATGAACATTTACAATTAATCCTGAACTACCTTTAATTAGCAGAATATGCAGATTTTCTATCCCCTCAATCAGTGAAGATTGTCTACTGGTTGAAATATTATGGTTATAATAAATGTCTGGTTATTATATTAATAAGATTTCAAAAGCCAATCTGAGTAGCTGAGATTGCTAAGGCAGTTGTGGCGTGATCTCGGACAGAAAGATTGCGGGTTTGAGTCCCGTTTCGAGATTATTATTTCACAATTTGGTCAAAAACAACCTACCTTCTCTCAATTGGCTAAAATTATTTTCTTTCATTAAAATGAGACAAATTCTTACACTTAAAACAAATACGTTTATTAAATAAATAAATATATAATTCAATGACGCATTGCATTGTGCATAGAGTTTCAATAATATAGCTTCAATCTCAAGTGGGATGTTAGTAGTTTCTTTTCCTTTACAGACTGAAGGTTACATTTAACCCGAGAAGGGTCTTAAGTGCAAAAATAGGGAAGGGGAAATCAAGGCTCCCCTCCCAAATCCAGCAATTTAACCGAAAGCAACCTCATTGGCCACGAGCTGCAAGCACAATAAAGCAACCACCTGCAACAACTCATCCTTGATTCCAAGTACACGGCTTTCAAGTAGCAGTGGGTAGGTTTAATCATTCACTGCTAAGGCTCTGAAGTCGTAAAAATACAGTATTACATTGCTGTTTATCTCAGAATGGCGATTCCAAGAACATAAAAAATGTATAGAAATATATCAGAAATGTGGTTGTAATAGGTAAAAAATATAAAAATATTTAATATTAAAAAATGTAAAAATATGCACATGGAAATGGTATTAATCCATTCAGAACATCTTGCAAACTCTAAAAAAATAATTATGATGGTTATATAGTGTAATAATTCTTTTAAGAGTTTGACAGAGAAAATGATGTAATGCACAAGAATATCAATGCCAAGATATTAATGGAAATACACGATTTGGGGTACCCTGATTCCGATTTTCTTTCTTTTTTTTTTATTATGATTTCAAAATTTTCTCAAATATGGTTCTGATGTTGTTGTTTTTTTTTTTCTTTTCTATTTTCTATCTTTCTTTCTTCAGATTTTGAGTGAAATACACTTATAGAGAATGTATAGATTTGATTTTTCATTGTTAATTCTAAATTTTTAAATATTGCAATAGTTTGAAAATTTTTGAACTCCTTGTACAACTACATTATAGAAATTGGACATTTTCTTCACGTGAATTTTGTTCTCGACAATTAGTTCTTTAATTAACATCAAGTACATTGTTTTGTAAATATTAGTAGTTTTGGGGCAATTTTAAGTTCTGAGCCTTGTCTCAGCTGTCTCGTTTGTGTAATATGTGTTTCGCCTTTAAACTACCTGACAATGCGGCCACATTGTGTCGCAAGAGGTTACGAACAATTTTGCCATATTCGCTTATAAGAGGTTTTTAGAGACAAGTTGTGCAGTTTTTCAATCAGTTTAAAGAAGAGAGATTTGCAAACTAATGCTGAAATATTAGAGAAAACTAATTTGCGATATATTATTTTGCAATATTCTTAACCGTTACAAATTGAATAAGAAAGTAAGTGTTCTGTAGTAACACTACTACTTTTAATATTTTATGTATTCAACAAGATTTTAATTTTTACTTTTAGTGTTATAGTTTTATGATATTCAATTTGAAACTTCTTTGAAAGCTTGCTAAAGAGGGAGATGGTTATTATATAAAAAATAAGCTAACAAAATATGAGCTAAGGTTTTTGCTCTGGCAGATTTAAAAATAAATGGCCCATCTATGCAGACTGACAGCCAGAAAGACGTACTAAAATGTTTAATTCAGCAAATGATGAAACAATGCAATTGGTGGAATCTATTCCAGGCTCTAACAGGAATATCACAATGGACAATTTGTTCACAAATGTATTCTTTCCCATACTCTCTTAGAAAAAAACCTTACAGTAGTAGGAACAACAATGAAAATAAATCAGAAACTACAAAGGAAAATAATAATAATAATAATAATAATAATAATAATAATAATAATAATAATATGAACAACAACAATACAAAGTCCTTCAAAATCCCATATTCATTCTAGTACATTTGATTTTATTATTACAGCAGTGTAGTGGTGGATTGGTCATCCAATAAGAGGCCAATGGCTAGCCACAATTCCCCTCAAACTCATTCATTGACAGGTGAAAATAGAAAATACATACAGAAAAAAGCAAAAATTACTCGCTCTACTGTCACTACCAAGTAAGTCAGAAACTTGTTTTGTATACAATTCTGACCTCTTGCAATACTCTCTCCAGAGAGTATAGTGGAGATACTACTAAATGCTTGAATTGGTAACTACTTAGCTGTCTGAGAGACGCTGTGTCCCAGGCACTGACTCCAGTCGCAGATGCCTATGCTCTCCAATGCTTTAATTATGTTAAAATCAAATCAGAATTTGAGAAAAAAATGTACAAGAAGAAAATTCCTTCAAATCTAGGAATGAATATTGTAGAATTTCACATGAAGAGCCAACTGAAATCAACCAGTCTCCCAAAAAACATAAGGGTTTCAATCAAAACGAATCTTCCAAAATTTTAAGAAGCTTTAAGACAGAAAAGAGTTCTCAGAAGTGAAGAGTATCCTTATTTCATGGACTAGAAAACTCATTTCTTGTGTGAAAAATTCAATAAAATGCTATGCAAGAGCCTGTTAAACATTTTGTGTTGGTTGCAAATACTAATTACATCTTGTTCCTTGTGTGGAAAATAAGAATTTATTTCATATACAATGCAGCAAGTTATACAATAAAAAATTGGAGTTCATTGTTATGTAGGAACTAGTGTTGTAATGGGTGTACAATTTTGTTAATGTATTTATTTAAAATACTATTTATTTATAAAAGTGAAAAAGCATGACATCCATACAATAATTAAAGATAAGACATTCTTACTGAACCTGTAATTAAACAGAAATCTGAAGTAAATAATACATTTAATGCATGTCGAGTACTATATGTCTATCAAAATTTACTTCAAAACTTTAGATGTTAATTGTATTGACGATTCCTAATGGAAGATAATTCCAAGTGTTTGTGATTCTAAGTGATATAAAATTCTTTTAGGGTTTTTTTAATTCACACTTAGTTTGCTGATTTTTTTATATTCTATTTTATAACTTTTGTGTAGATTGTTGCGAGTTTCACAGTTTGACATTATGTTAGTTTATTCACACTTATTATTATATTATTTTCTCGGGTTTTCTCACCCGGGGTTCCAGGTTCGTGAAATCCTTAGGCATACCGCTTTTCAAGCTTTGAATATTTAGAACAAAGTGTACTATCTGGTAGGATTCAAGAATGACTGACTTTTGAGCTTTTTGGAATAATTTTGAGGAAGACCTAACTTTTCCAAATAATACTTTAGATTTTTATTAACAAGACCAGTTGCTGTTATTACAATTGTATAATTTCAACAGACTCAAGTTTGTGGAAATTTTTCCATTAAATCAGGACACCATTACAGCAATTACATGAGAAATAGTCCCACATGACTAACAGTTTTCCAATCTTGAATATTAATACAAGGGTAGAGAGAAGAAATACAACTTTAAGATAGTTTAAAGGCTAAAAAATTGATCAAAAACAAAAGATACAAAACTTTTCAGAAATAATTAACTATTGTGAAATAATAGCTCAGAAACTAAGAAAAATTTGGGTGAAGAGATTGCAAGTCTTTTAAAAACACAATATTCTAAACAAATAAATTAGAACAGACAAATTTACAACTCAACTCAATTTGTTTTTAGCATCCAAAAATTCCAAAGTAATTTTTTTCAGAAGTACTTTTACATCTTGAACTCTTAAGGCTAGTTAATCAATCATTTATTCTATTACTAAATTCCATATATGTTGATGCTATCTAATTAAACTAAATTCAGGAAAATTATACTATAAGAATTCCTTGTTACTAAGGGAAAAATCTGGAACATACTGAACTTTTAACCACTAATATCAGCAATAACTCTTTAGCATATTTCAACAGCATTTATACAAATATTTACTTACATCAAACAATATTGTTGAGTTAGAAGCAACCACTCAACCTCCGCATATCCCAAAACACTTTTCACACATCTAAAGGGTGAGTCAATTGGGGCATTAAAAAACAATACCATCATGTTCCTATTAATATTTCCTAGAATAATCTCTCTGCTATTTGAGCCTCAAAGGCATACATAATCACAGAAGTATTTTGCATGATTTAGGATTTCTGTTGTAGCCTGCCCTCTTCAAAACATGAGTGTAAAAAACAAACAGTACGTTTTCTAGATCATGAAGCTGCAGTTCTACTTGGATCATTTGCAGACCTGGAAAAATTCATTGCAGTGCCTGCACTTTGGTCTCACGAGACACTGACCGAACTGCATCAAACTCAGATTCAATACATAATGTCATTATTCCCATCAATTCACTAGTTTGCATTCTTGTCATTTGTATTTGTGCACAGATTTTCTCTCCAGTGATAGGCAGTATATCTATGCTTATCAATTCAACTTACCATAAGCATAAACTTCTTGATGTTGTGGTACAAGAAAATTGCCAACAAACAGCTGAGCAGTAATAGAGCATTTCTAAGCAAAATGACATGAGAAACATTTGTTCCTCTCATAGTACAAAATAGTGTTTTTTCAATGCCTGAAATGACTCACCCTCTATATGAAAGGCCCAGTAAGAGAGATGGTATATGTTTATAATGAGAGCTGCTCCTTGAACATTCACTATCTCCATACTGAGGAAAAGTCAATGAATGAAACTCCAGTGGTAACATCAATTCAACTGACATCAGCAATTTTGTTTTTCAATCTAACTATAAAACTGATTTCAATTTCAGGTACTCTTCAATTTCGGTTTTTGTTTCATGTACATCTGATGGGGAAAGGAAAGGAGAATGCTCCTTCAATACAGGGATCAGAGAGATATTCTAAATACACAATTACAAATCAATACTGCTTTGAAAAATTTATTTTTACAAGGAATTTCTTATGCTTTACACCATAAAACTGGTCCCAAAAAATTTTATATTCAGCATGAATTAATTACATATTAAATTAATATAAATATTGAGGAAAAAGACATGTGTCATAAATAAAACTCTCATTACAATTTGTACAATCACCACATTGTTCGCTCTAATACTTGATCTCTTTGTAAAATACTGAGTGGAGCTTTTCTAAACATTACTTTACAGATTTCACAAAATAAAAGACACATCCCTCAAAATAAAAGAAAGTTTTATACCTGGAAAGCATCTTTTGAATTTTCTGAATAATTTTGACCACCAAACTTACAATCAATCAACAACATTAATTCAAAAAGTTGTTTACAATGGAAATATTATTTTAGAAATAATCACCTGTGATTATAGTGTTTATCAATTAAATAAAATCACAACCTTTAAGAAAACTTAACAGTCAATTGTTAAAAAAAAAAATAATTTGTATATAAAATGTCATAAGCTACCAATTCAATAGTATTAGAGCATACATTTTCCTGTTGTCAGAAACACAAAAGCTTGGTTTCCAAAAAGTCTCAGTCTTTAAATGTTATGCTTGGTGATTCAATCATGATCAAGATCTCAGAATGACAGTGAATTAAAAAGAAGACTAAAAGTGCTTTTAATAATGTTACAACAAGAATGGCAATGTGCTTTTTATAAACTAAATGATAATAATTTGCTTAAATTTGTGCACTAAATGAAGATAATCAATATCTTAAATAATAGACAAAAAATTAAGATTAATGTAGAAATGTGGTGTATTTGGATGTAATGGTATGCAATGTATTTATATATCATAATTAATTTACCAAGCAAACAAAATTCAGTAACTTATGAAGCCACTCTAGAATAACCGTGCATTATTTTTATACACACTTCTCTGCCTTTCATGAAATGGAGTTATACTAATAAAATATAATGTCATAGTCATCTCTCTCAGAATCAACAGTGTCATAATTGTACAAAAATTCTACAACATTGCTTTATTTCAATTGGTTTACCGATGAGTTCTTATGCTAATTTCTTCCCAAGAATCAATGGAAATTAATTTGGATATAAAGTAATAAATTGATTGAATCAAAATGTTTCTTACTTTCCTTGACCAGCAACATAGAAATAATATGTTGTGCGAAAAATAAACTCGGAAACCTACTGAAACTATCATACCAAATTAGACAAGGCAAAATTAATAAAAATATGTAAAATGCAGAGGAAGAAAGTTGAATGCTTAAAAAGAGCAATTACAATTTTACCAAAAAATATTCCTTTTCTTAACATAAAAGGGTTGTTTATTATAAAAAAGAAAATTAAAAAGTACTCCACGCGATAAGAATTCAAGTAAACTCTACACAACAAGCCCAAAATGATAGTACATAAAAACACAGCAAAATTTACAAAATTAATTACTTGATTTAATATCAACTCAAAGCATGAATAATGTTGCCAAGTCTGTTGAGATAAAGTTCTTAATTCTCCATTTTAAGCAGATTCAGTTTTTCCAATACCATCAATAATTTGTGGAAAGCAAGTTCAAGCAGCTCATGATTGAGAAAGTTCACTAGCCCATGAAGTTTATAATTAAAGAAAGACAAATTTTCACAGGCACAATGTATACTAAGTTTCCAAATATACATATCTAAGAACCAAACTTATTAGCATCTCTCATTTTACATTTAATATTTCTTTCAGAAATATGTTCCAAATATCACCAATATGAAATAAATGTATCCTTCAACAATCATTGACACATTTACTGTTTAAACTGAAACTGATACTCATTTTTATGAACAAGGAAGATTAATTAGAGCATGTTATTTGAGTCATTTCATAAAAATAAAGTTAACAAACATGCTCACCACAACCTCCATCCATTTAATTAATTTCTGGTGAATTCAAAACTTGTATGTTTCCATTTTAATAAACATACTTTTCCTCACAGGTTTGTTGTCACAGGTTTGGGGGCGTATGTTGACGCACTCCTATCGTTTAAAGAAGAAGCCTGCACAATTCTGTGAATCCTCAAGTGGCGACTCATATTACTTGGCCCAAATGAACTATCGTATTTCAACTTTCTGTCACATATACAGCAACGAACTCTGCTGCTTCCCGGTTCCTGCCTAAAATACTTCCAGGTCCATGACTTACGCCTTGCTGAAGCCATAGTATCTGAAAGTAGCACAAAGATACAAAATAAAACACTTAACAAGACTGCATGGACATCTTAAGTTTCTCATTTATAAGTTATGACATCTTCTCAGTACAGCATATTCAAAACAAAACGTTATAGTACCAATGTAAATAAAGAATTAGGTTCATTAGGACAAATTTACTCCCACTTTTCACTTAAGGTTTTTTAAAATATCACAAGCAACAGCATTATTTTCAATTGCAACAACCTATCTATTTCCAATCATTTTACTGAGTATTCTACATCTTTCGTTCTCTTCAATTTTGTACACAATTACCACTCCCTGTATTTGTAAACTATTTTCAAACACAGTAACTAACATTTGCACAACTGAATAAGACAAAATAAATTAAGTTCTCTAAAAAGTTGAATTTAATTTGCATTTTAAGAACAAATCATCTCAAATTCCACAAAGAAATTTTTAAACGAATATCTGGGAACGTTATATTACTTAAACGTGCCACTTAATAATTAATAGCAGTTTATACAATAGGCAACCTACATAAATATTTAAACAATTATGGGAAGGAAATTCTATAAAAGCTTTGGTATTTTCTCAAACTACAAGTTCTTGATAACATTCAAAACTAGAGAAAAACATTTATATGATCCATACACAAAAAAAGTCATGAATCCTATTAAAGAATTTTATCCTAACTTTTCCGAAGAGTATTTTAAAAAATTTATGCAAGAAACTGTACAATCACCTTCATGAATCCAAATGCCCTATTTTATTTACAAAACGGAATCTCAATTCGTAAAAATAAATGAAAGGTGTCCAAAGAATCTCAACTATAACTAAATGGAATTAAATACTAACTAAAAAGGAAATAATACAAAAAATTAATTAATTTTTTTAAACAAAGGAAATATCAAGCAGAGCCTCCCTATAAATCAAAATTCAGAAACAGGACCTTATTATTAAACATTTTCTTAATTTATTTTTAATAAGTTAAGAGGCAGCAGTAATCTGGTAATACCTGTTATGTAAAATCAATACTAAATGTGCATGTGTAAGGAATATTTAACTTCAATTGTGGTTTTTATTTTAAAAACAATAAACCAATGGTAAACTGTAAGAAGGAAACATGGGAAACCACAATAATTATCACAGAACAATTCTTCCTCCTTGTCATCTGACAAGGCTTCATGTAAAGTACCTCTAAAAATCTAAATGTGTTTCAAATTTGGCAAGGCCTCGATCTAGTATTAACCAAAAACGAACCAATGGATGGACAGGTTGGACGGACATTTTGTCAAACGGTTTTTCAGTATCAAGGATCTATAAAATGTGGATTCAGACTACACATATTAGAGGAACTAATTTACCGCATATAGCAGCAAGACTCATCCAATGCTTTCCAGGGCCTGACAAAGCCAGTTTTTCCATAAAAAAAAACAACTTTGATCCCACTGCATGACAATACTCTCTCTTTACTACGTACACAGTAATGCGAGAAAGTAAACCATGAAACTGAACTATAAAAACAAATATTCACAAGATCAATGAGAAATACCTGACACATTCAATGATCATGTTTCATAATTCTAGTAGTTGAGTGAGGTGGAGAGTGGAGGGACTGAAAATAAAATTACTTCCATTGCATACAATTGACCGTTCCTTCTCCTGTCAGAGGACATTACCTAAGCTTACTTCAATTGGAATGAAATTAAATATTTCAAAAAGAAAAAAAAATAGTTAATTAAAAAGTTTCTTTAATATGCTGAAATACTTTTTATTGAGTAGTGATAGTTTAAGAGAATGGAGTAAGGAAGCTAAAATTCCGCAGAAAAAAAATTGATTTTACATCAGAAGCATTGTTCAAAATGTATTACTTAATTTTGCTTGGGAGCACATTCTACAGCATCCCCTAAGTAGATTTTCTTGCCCTTTGCCAGACTGTAGAACTGGAATATGAGTAAATAATGTTTACTGCTATAAAAAATAGTTTAAAATTTGTCTTCTCTCTCAACTATAAAGGTAAGTTCCAAAATCATAATGGTTTGCTTCTCTGCATTGTGTATATTACATGGTAAAGTGATGTCACAATTAGAATAAGGATGTGGTGGAAAACATGTATTTGATCAACCATTCTATATTAAAGATATATTTCATTACTACAGAATATTGCAATCATGAAATTTCAGCCAATAATGTGCAAGAACATAGAATGTACCAACCAACTGGAACCAATTAGGCATATTATCACTCTCATTATCACCTCCTCATTCATAAGTGGCCTACGTAATATTTAAAGATTGATGATTGATCTACTAATCTCTGTGCAATATCAGTACATCATACAGCGTAGCTCAGGCTCGAGACTAATGTCCATTTTTCAATGTGACAGTCAATTCCATGTAATTTCAGCATTTCAGTTTTCCTGAAAACTTACTCTAAATATTAGCAAAAAAAATTTATTTGTTTTAGGAAAAATTTCATTAACTTTGATTTTGGTTTTATCTGTTTTTTATAAAAAAGGTAAGTATTCAAATCGACAGTATCAACAACAATATTGCACAATTTCTTCTCTGATATTGAATAGATATTAAAGAAACTAATATTGTTAACTTCTAAATCTCATACATTATTTGAACCCTATGGTATTTATAAAACATATAAAATGGAAGGAAAAGATGACCACTTCCAATATTGCAAATAATTAACAACAAATCTGTTGTGAAAAATAATACTATGCATATACATAAACTTTTCCATGTATGTCTGGATTCTTTGGGATGTTACTGCAGTAGAATTGAATAAAAAAATTATGTAAGGGCAATTCAATTTGAATGATTAATGAAAATCAGAAAATTTTTACAATTTTATTAAGAAAAATTACATGGTGGAAAAATGTTTTATCTGAACACTTGTCAAATCTACATATTCATATACACGAAAGTGAAAATATGACAATATAACAAGCCACACTCTCAGCTGGGCCAACAAGCCATCAATGTAACACATTTTCATAAGTATATATTTAGGCACAGCCTCTATTCACGTTTTCAATCTTGAATACTATTTCATTATCCAAATTGTAACAGTGTCCCTAAGATGCCTTGAAATCAGGCAAAATCAATTCTCATGATTTTACATATCAGGTTTGCAGCAAACCAAATTTTTGTAACATTCACATATATATGATGAAGGAAAGAAAGAAAGAAAGAAAGAAAGAAACGAAAAAGATGTTTAGTTCTTGACAATGCAGTATCTCTGAATTGTAAATTTCCAGCCATGCCAATCAACAATACTTTGTTGAGGTAAGAATATTGCAACTATCCTTGTGTAAACAGATCCGCAATTAATGACAATGACAGAGTTGAAGCTTTACCCCTACACATCAGGGGCAGATGTAAATGTTTTCTTGTAGCCAAAGTTCCAAAAGTAAAAGAGTACTAATTTCATTGCAACTGCATTGAAGCAAATTTGAAAATCTAAGGTCATTTTATCCTTTACTTTGAATGTTATTTAAAAGCATTTTTTCATGACTTGGGTGACTTCTTAAATGCTATTTAAAATAAATCGTGCATCCTGAACATTTCATCAAGTGCATTCACAATGCTTTCATCAGCCAGACATTTTGTCCATTTTCACTTACGTTTTAACCAAGCCAATCATAAATACATGCACAGCACAATGCTTCGGTAAAATAAAGATTTAGGTATCATTGTCACTAGAGTTAAACATCAATTGAAAAAATGTATTATAAAATCAGACATTTCAAGAGGCAAAAAAGGTGGTCACTCAAAATCAACACGTGATGATGTCATAACGATGACAACTGCTCTGCGGAGAACTGAACAAGTGGAATATTTATTTTGGTATTTTTAAAATTTTAGTATAAAATTATTTAAATTTTATAATTTAAATTTAAAAAATTTAAAATAAAATTCTACATTTAAAAAATTTTAGAGAAATTTAATACATGTGCAATTAAATTAAAATTTTGAAGATTGCACTCATTTGTGAAAAACAAATGAGTAACAAATACAGTTCACAATTCCATGAATTCCACCCTGTATTTACTGCTGCTAACTAAACATATGGACAAACTTCCTTCTTCTGAGGAACATTCTGATCTGGAATCTTACCAGTTAAGTGGAAAGTTATTTGTCATGAAAGAGTGCACAAGAAATATGATCCTTATTAAAAATAGATTATTATTATTATTATTATTATTATTATAAAACGAAAAGCTACAGAAACCTCAAAGACTAGAACTGTCAACAGATGTTAGTAAGGTGACTGGCCACTGACAGAACAGTCAAATTTGAAAATATTATTCATTCAGAATGGCTTTAAGAGATACAATTTTCAAATTCCTTAGCTTTTCACGTTTTCTATCAATCATGTTCGGGCCAAATAGATTACCATGTTCAGGCTAGTGGTTGATTATTTTGACAGGTTCCACAATGGTTGAGCTTTGCTCAGCAATTCGCCTGGTAGCCATATGGGTCTAGAATGTGTCATTCAGGAGTTGAGTTCAAGGTTAGGGATAGTTTTAATGAGAGAATTACTTTTATCTGATATCGTTGATAAATATATTTTAAAAATTTTTACACATCAGCTTGAGAGAATATGAATAGCAATTCTTTAATAGAGAAATTCACAACCAATCATACCCATTGACAGTAAACAAACAGCCCACAATCGCCAAACATCAGAGAGCCTGCGCTATCACGTTCAACAAAATTCACAAACCCTTAATCAAAGAATCAAAGTAAATAATATTGTTTTAAATATAATATTTCAAGAGTACTTTTCTTGCATTCTCCCTGTATGAATACATTAGTTCCATGTAAAAATTCTCCAGTTGGCAGAATGCAAAAAATAACAGAAAATAGCCCCCAGCACAAGTTATACAATGTTTGTGAAATGAATACAAATCATTTCTACTTGTTGCTCACACACCACACCCCCGACATGATTTAGCAGAAATTAGTGTCAAAATAATCGCTCATATGACAGATCAGGAATATACTTTCTTTATTTTCTTATTTGTGTTTCAAAATGAGTAAAATCTTGAAACTCATCAAATCTTTAATACAAACATTGGAAAACAAATAGTGGATTAAATTAAGTTTCAACAAATGAACTGAAATTGAACAAATACAAGACTATTCCTGAATTCTAAATGCAACTTCAATAACTTAATAATTTTTAAAATTTCAAATATTATTTTGTATGTATTAAAAAATGAGACTAACTGTGTCTGAACAACTGAATGTGCCTTGTTTCTTTCAACACAAATTTTATTTTCCTTTAATTTATATTTATTAACAATTTTCTACATTTGACACCCTGCACAAGCTCTGCTGGAGGAAGAAAGAACTGAAGGATAATGTAGCGACTTCATTTCCTCTTTTGAGCATTTGGAAACACTAATAGTGAGAATTGATAGCCAAAAGCCTCAGAGTGCCGAGACCATTCTCAGGCTTCCATTGGATAAACACATCTCTTCCAAGACATGAAAATAAATTCATGAATTACATAAATTCAATGTTTTCCAATCCGATTCCAGAAGCCAATAAATTCTAGATCATACAATGAAACAATTTTTATAGATTGCTAAACTACTAAAGTAGCAGCAATAAAACTGTAACCTGTTCTTCAGAAGAGTATTTAATGATCATTTGTCATTTACATGTTAGTGAAGTATCACACAAGTGCAAGGACAGAAAACAATGCAATTCTGAAACAAGCACTCACAATGTAAATTGCTACATCCACTGCTCAGTGTGAACACTGAACTAAATATACAGGACCTTTAACATTTGGAGCATAACACTATTTTATTTTGTTTTGACACCATGTCCACACAAAGTCCAGTTTCTTAACCAAAAATTTTATGAATTCTCAAATGCCGAATCATGTTCCCAGCACCAAATGTATTATCGTATTTTAAGACTCTGCCACAAACACGGCACTGAACTCCTTTCTCATCCTGCTTAAGAAAATATTGCCAGGTCCAAGATTTTCGCCTTGTTGAAGTGAAGCAATCTGAAACTAGTACAAATTGTCCAAAATAAAAAATATGAACAATTCTTTTAAGGAAGGCACAAATAGTTGATTTGAAAAAATAAAAATGAAAACATTCAGTTAATTGTAGTTTCTATTTAAAAATTTGCAATTATAAAAAATTACAATCAATCTAAAATTCCATGCTATCATTCAAAAAAAAATTAAAAAAAAAAAAAAAAAAAACTTTAAAAATTTTTAGTTTTGATTTGTAATAAGGATTGTAAGAAGTGTTCCGTAAGTTTCTTCAGAAAGGTTTAAGTTTGCAAATCTTAATAGAATGAATACAACCATGAATATTGACTCCTATCTTTGAAATTACAACTTTCAGAAATATTTATAATTGATGGAAAACAAATTAACAGACAAAACAAAGCATATACACTAAATATATTTCCTCTGCAGAGTTTTTCATATTTGAGCTCACAAGATTATATGTTCCCTGTTCAGATAATTACAAGAAACCATTTAACTGAGAATACCAATGATCAAAAGCTAAATTTTCAATATATGTAACAGGGCAAGAAATGAAATATTTACTCTCACATTTCTTTAAGAGGAATTTGCCTTTTCCCTTAAATGAATGCAGAATTCTATTTAGCAGTGTGCTTCACGATAAAACATAGCTATTTTACAAAACATATTAATGGACGAGGCAGGTAAATAATCCGCAAATGTAGAAAACAACAAAACAATGTGAAACGAAATTTTAAAATTGATATGTGCAATTAAAATGTATTTGTGAATATATGATGGGTTTGAACAGTAGCCTCAAGATCATCATTCTCAAGATTCCTTAACTTCGACTAAAATATTATTTTCCTACTTGAAGCAAGGTAGTTGAATGCCATGCTCACAATTTATAGAAAAAAAGAACACAATTTTATTAACAGCACACATTCCATGAAAAAAAATGGAAATAAACAAAACAAAAGCTCTAATACCTTTGCGGCTATAATTCCAAATTTTGAACTATGTATCAAAATGATATTGTTTTGAAAACAAAATAAAAAGAATATCCGTTTGTCAGTGTGAGAATTTATCAGTTTTTATTTCCCCACAATAGACTCAGATGGAGAGCTAATTTCAAATGTTTGTTATTGGAGATACAAATGATGAACTGGACAAAATTTAATTTAATTCCGTATACTATGCCTTTAGTTTTCTTTATTGTGGATACAATGTAAAAGTTATTCTAGAAATTTGTCCAAAGATGGTAATATCTCTACTTCTGAAACATCATATTATAATAAAAAAGTAAAACTTGTTTTTCACATTTATGCTTTGTTTTTTTATACATCCTAGCTAAATTCCAATACTTCCCAAGTTAAATTAATTCAGATATGCATGTTACATCTATTCATTTTTCATGCTTACATATATCCCCATTAAAGAAAACTTGATATTACAAAGACGGAGATGACCAGGAAGTAAGAATGATTGTCTCATCCTAGGGACATCCAATGAATCTGTTTGGTTTGGTGTTCAGTCTGTTTCGTTTTGTTGGTATGCAAGACCTATCAGCCTTCCATTGGAACCTCATACGAACTGTGGAAACTGAACAAAACCTCACGATGCAAGGACAGTGATGTCCACTAGAATCCCTTTACGTAATGTCTGTCATCTGGTGTGGTGGCTTCGCATAATGTTGCCAACATTTCTGGCCTATTTTTAAGAAATGCACAGGGATCAAGTAAAGATTATGGGGCAGTTTGCTCATTTTGAGGAGGAAATTTATACCTTTGAAACAGAAAAAAGCAAACAGTTGAAGATCAGACTCTTCAAATGTGAGAACTTTCTTCCTGGAGAACATTATATACATATTATTAACTAACATCACAGTACTGTACAAATATTGAGTTTTTATTTTGCACCTGGATTTTAATAATTTTGCATTTTTCTCATGTGAATATTTTTTTCCTTTCAGTCTCCTGAAAATTATATAAATGAAGTTTTACTCTATACCGCCTAATTCCGAAAGGTTGCTTTAAAATTATGATGCAAAATGAAATTATAAGTTTACACGAGTTTATTTATCCCTTGTTTGTTCTTAATATTAAGGAAATATTTGGTTAGAAACTGATGCAGCAATTGATACAATCTTACGCAATCCCTAGATCAATAGCACAAGGAAATGCTGATGAATCAAAAGAGAAGAAAAGGGAAGAAGAAAAGTATAAAAGTGCCAAAATAAGTGAAAACCCAATTCATAACCAAATAGCTAAGATAAAATATTAAAATATTCTAAAAGATAGTAGAAAAAAACAAAATGAAAACTGGTTTAATCAAACAACAATTATTTAAACCAAAGGGCAAGTATAGT